ACGCACGCACACACACGTACAAGTGCACATCACATCAGTGCGAGTAGCATAGTGGTTTTATTGAGTGGAGGATGGAGGGGCTTTGATGCTTCTCATCAGCTTGCAAAGTGACGGCAAAACCAACGCTAAAGTGTGGAATTGGTTGCACATTGCTTGAAGGCGCGAGGCAGAAATGACTGCGGATGCTCCAAGTGACACCGATTAATGCGACACGAAGTGGTTGTTGATGATAGGCTATGGGGATATGACAAAGACCAGAAGGAAGGAGGGTTGTTTTCTGCTTCTCTTTCCCACCTTGACGGTAATTATAAGCAGTGCTGTGTAATCGCACTCTGGACTTATTGGGTAGACAGTTAAAATGTGAGAGGGTGGTGTGTTTGCGAGTTGGTGAGTGGAAGGGTTGAGTAGAAGGTGGTGCAGTCGAGGTGGGCGCGACAAAGTAGCCGTTTCTGGGCCGACGGCAGTGACTTGAGTTTGTCAAGGTGCCGCTGTCGAGGATCGACGGAGGGAGAGATGTGAGGCCGAAGTTAAGATGGAGGAGGGAGAAGTCTTAAGGCTGCATGATTACTGCCTTGTATATGGAAGCGGAAATGTTGGATTGGCTATGCACTTAGTGTATTGGTGAGGCACTCATGCACTCGCTTTTCCCTTTTCCTCTTTAACCTACAACTAATCCACTTTCTGTCTTGTAAATGATGGAACCTCTGATGTTGCCGCTGCTTTTGCTGTTGCCTTTCTAGTGGGTAATTATTCTGTTTTGCACTCTAACCCGCTTTATGTTTAGTGCTGAATGTAAGATTCGGTTTTATTTGCTTAAAGCCTATTTAAAGGCCCTTTCGAAATGTATCTTCCCTTGCCTCTCAAAATTCCGCAACATCGCGTACTCTTCATTGCATAATTTTTGCCCTTTTTTATTTTTTTAGTGAATTTGTTAATTTTGTAAAATGTTTGTTAACTTGCTTAGCTGCTCATGGAGTGCTTTTGGACTTGCGCATTTCCTTTGTGTTTCTTCCAGGGGCTTTGTCAACGTGTTTATGTTATTTTGGAATCGCACGAATTTTTCATTAGGTAGTTTGGAAAATTTTATAATTTAATTTGTGGCTTCTGAAGAAGGGCAAACTAAGGTGATGTACACTTTCTGCTTTGTTTCTGCAATGCCGGCACTTGTGCCATTGAACTGAACGATGCTTTTATTTTTCCAAAAATCTGAAGGAATCTAGGCTCTTTTTAGTCATTTCTATTACTCCTTCTGTTTCAAACACTGTAATCATATCTGGTTCACTGAAAACATTATCCATGAAAGTACGATAGGCATTTTACAGACCTTCATGTCAGGCCCCATTAAGGAAGTTGGGAGCACCTGCGCGGCGCCAGGAGCCAATGGGTTAAGCATGAACGTTGTCTTTACGCCCTCAGAACAGGTGCACAGATCCTGCGTTCAGGAGACTTACTGATTTATTGTACTGTTTCCGAACTGGTTACTGCTATGGAGGTATTTTCTCGCACTTTTGTTGAGCTTTAAATCAAAAACTTTCTGTACCTGTCGTTACCGTGTCGTCAGTAAAGACTAAGACTTTTGTCTGATCCTGACGGTGTCGTAAGTTAAATAGTAGATATGTCAAACACTCATATTCAAATTTCTTGTTACCTTTTCACTCACAATCATCCCACTTCTGTAGGCAGCACTGTGCAGTATCTAACGTATTCATCTAGGTTGTGAGCGACCGTGAATATTTCGCCCACATGCTGGATGCCTACCTCAGTAGGCATAAATTCACGCCCCATTTACACCTAGGTTGCTGTTTTTTGCATTCCTTTAATGACGAAGTTGGGTTGTAGGACAGAGGTAGCTACATAATGCACTGGAATGAGAAAAACTTTTCACCATTCCTCCTGACTTCAGTGAACTTTTTGCACACTACCACAATTGCATCACTCCTCAAGTCCAGTTAGTCCTTTTACCGTCTGGAATTTTTTCGTCCTTTCTAGTCATTTTGTAATCTTGCGCAAAATTCATGTAAATTCTCTTTTACTAACCCGCTTAATGCAACTGTCTAACTCTGTTGCCTATCTTAAATTTCCATTCTTAAAGAAATTCCACCATCGTTTGTTGGTTGGTTAATCACATGGAGGGCATTGAATACATCTTTTGGTTATATCTTCCCCTCCATGTAACGAACTTGGGATTTAATAAAACCATACTTTTGTTAACATCAATCGGGTTGTTGGAACATCCCACCGACTCTTTTCCCATAAACTACTTCACGAGGTCACATATCATTATTAATTCACATAAAACTACAATCTGGGTTCCTTCGGCCGAACTGTACTTTCAGTTTCTTTTGACTTACAGACGATGGAAGCAGTTTGGGTGAGGAGTCTGGAAAACAGACTCTTGTGCCCTTCCTCCTCTGCATCCGCCTCGGTAGTGAAAACATTCTCCGTAGTTGTCTCGTCGACAGACCGGAGAAACGCAGTACCACTATCCGTCCACCGGATTCTGCTGCTGGGGCCGGTGACTACCATCCTCCCGGTGCTCCCCATCTTGCTCCTCGTTCACCCCCCTTGTCCTCAACCTCCGCCTCTTCGCCATCCCCCACTACCTTCCTTGCTGCGGGGTGAGTTTGGGTGTCCATTATGGAGCCTTCCCAATTTCCTAAGCCCCATGCTTATCTTAAGATTCTTGCCCGTGGTACTAGACATAATGTAACATTTTTAACGCACAGAACTTAAAATGTTACAATAGGCCAATCCCAAACTCACTTTGATTGCCACTGCCGGCCGTTCCCGTCCCATTCTGTTCCATTTTGCTTGGAATCAATTCTTCTCGATGCTGGATATTCCATGTAACTAACTTCTGTAGCCCGAAATTAGTAGTGGACTTAATGCTTGTTTCTGGCTCTATAATCAGATTCGCATCCCTTGACTTCCCTTGGCACCCTTTCATTTGCTATCAATCCTTTTAATATCTTCCAAATTATTACCACATGCTCTAAAATTCACACAAGGCGTACTTTTGATGAACTACATGGGTTTATAAACAGCAATTTTAAGTTGCTTATTGATTCACAGTATGGGCTGTGACTGAAATAACACATCGGCCAAATAGCCCCACGTCTTTGCCATCAAATACGCACCCTTTCTTTGACCTTTTTCTTGACTGTTTAGTATAAGTGCGGCTGAATTTTGTCGAGCCAACGCTCATTTGTCTTTTTCAATGCGTGGGTGGTCAGGGCTTGTTGGCATAACCCTTGAACATCAAAAAATCCTAACCAAGAAACTCAGCGGTCTTAAATTGCATGATCTGGGCGACCAATTGTCAGCACCGAAAGCGAAGTGACTCACAGTAGTTGACTTGGTTCTTGGGCTGTATGGCTTGCAGCTCAGTCTCCTCGGCGCCTAATACCCTCCACATCGAAACCAGGCAATGTGGGCTGGTTGTTTTTGAAAAAAAAAATGGGCTAGTGCTGCCTTCGGCCCAAAATCAGCAACAAACGATGACATTTTTGGAGGCATTCTTTGTTCGAGCATCCTTAGTTGATTTTGAACTCCATGGTTAACGAAAGCATCGGACTAAAAGTGATTAACTCCATCACTGGAGAATGTTGTGCTTGGAAAATCCACAGGTGTCTATGTTTCACAATTCATTCAACGAAATATACTCGCTTAAGTTCTTGCCCCATTAAAGAGTTTTAAACATGAAAATGCAACTCATGGTGCGGAGGGAATTTTTACTTGCTCACTTCTTGATCACGGTGTTTAGTCAGTGTCTCCGGAGTCATAGCAACACTCTTATGGAACGTTTTGATATTTGGTGCTCACTACTTAATTAAATCTTTCAAACTTGCTTTTACTTTTGATCCCTTCGTTGTCAATGAAGTTAATTTATCATTTTGATCATGCTTTGTGCGAAACCGGTAGTCTGCAGCTACTAAACCTCCATTATCGTTAACACATTGTTCATTGTTGGGAGCGCATTACTTTTTCATAGAACAATTCATTTTTACCAATTCCAAGCTGTCAGATCTTGCTCTTTTTTCACTGTAATCGCTATACTGCACAAATGGCGCAGAAATGAAGTCTTGCGTGAATTTTGGAATACCTTTTATCTATTGTCGCGAAAATTGCTGCTGGGTGGAGTACATTAAAGTACTTCTGTGAAGTGTGCTTTGCTAAATCTGTCAAAGCACTCCTTTTTTACGCTTTCCTGTTGCTCCTTTCACGTGTTTTTGTTGGCGCCTTCATAATTCACACCGGTGCAGGTTAGTGTTGGTAGTTTATGCTGATGCTTATTCCTCGATCCCTGCTTAACAAATTGCTAGCCATTTTTTCATTCATAGCACAACGGGTGGATTGATAGGTCGAACTGCATCGGTCGAGAGATGGAAATGAAGTGGAAAGCCCTTACGAGCTTTTTATATGGGTTTGAGTTCATCAAAGCAGTCAGCGTCATATTCGGTGCTTTGATGTTTTGTGAATAAATCATATGCTAATCTCGCCTTATGCACCAGTGATAACACAGTAAAGCTGTTGATCAGTCACCTTGTTTTGACTATTCGGAATCAGAATTAAAGACGGGGAAAATAATCGCTTACTCAATGGTCACCCATCTAGCTCAGAGGTTAGGGAGGTTGGTTGGTGATATCGAATCGAAAAATCATTGAGGTGATAGTTTGTTCTAATCACAATTTTTGGCACTGTGGATTCGTCAATTTTACGATCATTACTTCATCTTGATTACTTACACGAAGTATAACAAGCTGGATGTGTTTAACCATACTGTCGGGAAGCATATTTAGTCTTTTGGTTAACCTAATGGATTGTATAGTAAATGAAGGGAATCAGTATTTTTTTCAACTGTAATAAGTAAACAGCAGTTCCAGTTTCTTCTTTTAGTTTAAGTCTCTTTTTCTGCTACAGGCTTGATACGCCTACATATGAGCTCCAGCTGGAGTATTGGGCCCTCAACGCACCAGCTTCGGGCTCCGTCGTGGGAGGTTACTATGGAGGCGGAGGAGGAGGAGGAGGCTCGTCTTCTCTAGTTCACTCCCTCAGTTTAGACGATCGTGGTGGAAGTGTTAGCGGTGGCAGTATTGTTAACAGTGGTGGATGCAGTGGCAGTGGTAGCGGTAGTGGCGGTAACATAGATGGTAAGGCTGTACCGAGGCCCGTCACCTTCAAGGCTGTCTGCAGGTCTATGTTAGTTGGCCTAACCAGCAATCCCCTCTGCGCACCCGTCCCAGTACTGCAGAAACCTTCCGCTCTTCTCAGTCTTGGAATGATTACGCGCGAAAAGAAGCCAAAAAGTAAGGCGCTTCCCTTTGCCCCCACCTGTGATAAGTAGTCTGTATTGTATTTCTCCGTAAAAGTAGCATTTGCCTTAACAATGAAACTTAGGCCAACCACTTTAGATGAATAGGCTTGAGGTATTTCGATGATCATTGTTTGCAAATTTTTCCTCTCAGATGGCACCTGAGTTTTCACAGCCACTTTATTCTTGTAAGCATTTTGTTTTAGGTGCCTTCAGTTTAGCGAAATCCTTGCAACTTGCCGTAAATTGTCGGATTTGTGCATTACCAAATCGTGAAGTATGCCTGTAGGACTTCATTTTATATCCCTTCTTCAGTTTTATACTGTTCTTGCGCCGTAGAAAGTGTTATTACTCAAATCTTGGGCTTCTATGTGATTTCTTTTAGTGTTGTGCTACACGGAAACCCATAATTGCTCCTATTACTGGGAATTGAAGCTAACGTGGATGTAACCTTTTCTCCTCGGTGTAACTACTACATATGATTTTTAGATTTGGTCGTAACTTTTTTGTCCTCAAATTTTCTCTCTAACATTTTGAGTTCATCTCCTTCACTTTCCAGTTATGCGAATCGGCAAGAAGACAAGCAAAGAGGTAACCTTCAAATCTGATCTGATTGAGGGAGTAACTCGACTGATTTGCACCTGCAAAGGTACCATTCCCCATGTTTCCTCGGTAGTGGAGACAGCAGAAGCGGGTCTGAGTCTAGCACCGATCGGTCGGTGCTCAGAAATAGCGTCCCTGCCTCCTTCATCTCCAATGCATCATCAACAATCTCTGCCTCCACCCCACCTCGCGGCAGGTGAACTGGTAACAACAGTAGCGGAGGGCACCTCGTCCCGTTACTCTTCCACCTCTTTCTCAGTCCGAGACGACCTTTCCTGTGGTCTTGCCATTCCTGGACAGTCGGCCTCTTCTTCAGGTGATCACGTCTTTGTTCGAAGTGAGTGAACGCTTGCTAACCTCCCTTATCTATTCCGCTTTCACCTTTTAATTTACTTCCGTTCAATCTATTTTACCTCACTATACTTCAAATTGTATCAGTGTTTTTTTCTGAAGCTGTGACTGGGAGGTATGGGTAGGTAATTTATTTATCTGCCGACATGGAAAGTTGCACTTACGTTACATTTGCCCACCTTATTTGCGTCTTCTCTTCTGGAGTTGGCAAATTGATGCTTCTATTTTCGAACAGCATTGTTCAATAGCTGCTAATTTACACCTGTTTTTCACCACTTCCATTCTTACCAGTTGATGATCTTCGTGTTTCATGGAGATCTCTTTTCCTCCTAACCAGAAAATTCATTTTGTTTAATCAAGGAGGTAACATCTTAACGTAGATGTCATCTCCCCTCAAATTGCATTGACATGCCGAATTAAAGTGAGCTCATACCACGAAAGGGTTGTGAATTTTGAAGTTTTTTATGTTCATGCTATAAAAATGTTAAAGGAGCTTAAGTTAGATGTACTGCAACATAATTGCGAATAATTTGTTTTGGCGTTGGTGTTAGTCTATGAGCAACTTGCGCTTTCCTTAGTCACAAGGCGTACTTTCCTACGTCTCTGAAGCACTATTAATCGCCATGAGTTGTTCAACTCGACCCCAAAAATTGCTGGTATTATGGAGTATGTGAAAGATTAAACTAATGCACCAAGTCAAACGTTACCCTCATCGCTACATTATATCAATCATCTTGTCACTTAAGTCGATCAAGCAGTGTATGTCTAAAGGTAGGAGATAATGACTGTGAGATGAGCCAGTAGCCGTGCCTATGAGGGAAAGTGGACTCGCCGTTTTAGTATAAGGGGAAAAGAAAGAGCTGTGTTAACTCACTCCCATCCACATTCTTCGTACTCTCCTTGCCACATTTCCTCTAGACCCAAGCAAGGGTCACATTTCCTTTGCATTACTATTTGTACAGTCGTATGAGTACAGTTGAGTGTAAAGCCAATTGGAAAGAAAAGGTGAACTGGAACCGGAAATGTCTGAAGCTAGATTTTGCTGTTAACTTCTCGGGCAAATGATTTTGCTTAAATAGAATTCACAAGAAGTTTGTATTTTGCTGGAGAAGGATCGACTAACAGATCTGCACTGTTGATTCTCTCGGTCTATTAAGCACACAAAGAAGCCTTTGGCAGCGGGCTGTTCCTTATTTGATTTACTAATTCTCGGTCCCATTGTTAATCCTCATAACATTGAATAGTACACATTTGATATTCTATCCATTGCTTTGTTTTGCAATTTTGATACAAGAAAATATTTCTCTTTGAATCCAATTTTCAACTCCCTCCTTCCCCTCTCGGTTGGCACAGTTTGGCCTACAAAATCGAAACAACTAACTTTTCACAAGCTATCATGTGTTTGGACTTTTGTCACAAGACTTTTCTCATTCGCTCATTGTGAGAACTTCTTTTTTCACCGAGTCACTTCCACGAGGTCAGAACTTCGTTAAAATCAACTTTGTACTATTAGGACAGCGATTCTATAGGAGTCCCCAATGAACACCTACTCGGTCTCTTGAAACTCTGCAGTGGGTCTTGATAGCATCTCGCTGTTCATAGCTTTCGGCCATCGAAATCTCACTAATCTCACTTTTTTTACTTACCCGCAGTTCTGCACTTCGGTTGTGAAGGTATTGATGGAAAGAATGTACTGCCCTTCCGCTATTAAAGACACTCTTTGATACGTGGAGTCTGTCAAAACTAATAAATAGATCTATCGCCGCTTGTTTCCTTTCTACAGTATCGATAGACGGTGTGGACTGGCCAACCTCGCGGTTCTTCCAGGTTGCGCCGGGTTGGCGCACCCACGTGAAGGTCTTCCCTCTGGTCTGCATGTCACCCCTCCCTTCCAGTCCAGCGTTTGCATTGCCCCTTGCCAAGGTCATGGGGGGGCTCTCCGGCCACGCTCCGCCTGCCCCTCCGCTTCTCTTTTCTGCCACTTCTGTTACTGCGTCGGCCTCGCCACAAGCACCGGCACTAGCGCCCTCCTGAGCCTCAAACGCTCTCTCCCCTCCTCACTGTGATTTTCTTTTCGCTCTTCTTTCTTGAATCTGATTTTGTCACTGCTGCTGCCACTCTTTCCAGTCATCAAGTAGCTGGCGAGCCATCAACGACTCGAATTCTCACTACATCTCCTCTATTTTCCTGCCTGGGTTTTGTTTTTCCTCGTGAGACGATTTGATGTTTTGAAGGCTTGACAATTGTAAAAAGTCTAATGTAAACACGTTTTGAGAAAAGTAGTGAAAACGAGACCTTTTGGTTATGTAATGGTGATGGGGGAGGAGGACAAAAACTACGATCTGATTGGTTTTCTGTGGCAAGTAAGCAATAGAAATGTGTCACAATGTTTCGATGAACTGCCAATCGTGTCTGCGATTGTAGAAATTTGCAGTGATCGAGCATTGTTTTTTAAAGGTGGGACTTAATTCCACGTCGTTGTTTGGTGAAAGATCCGCTGGATGAAAAGCACCTCCTTGTGTCCTTACGGCGTCAGGCTGTGTTTGGGCTTATCCGCACAGCAAAAACTTCCCACCTAACTGTCAACACTGACAAGTAGTCTCATTTAGGTAGTCTGGCCAAACGTCTCAATTTTTTGGCATGAATTTTGATAAAGGGAACTGGAACTGGAGTTCACATTGGAATAATTTAGTCATAGAGTTAGTGGGTTAATCATAAAGAAAACAAATTCTCGAACTTTGTCCTTTTTAACTGCCCTATCCACTTGGTTTAAATGAGTCTCTCGCTTGCATTGTCTCAAAGTCAGGACGTGAGAGATACACAGTAAGAGGTCTCTTTGTTATTTGTCGTCATTAGCTGACAGGCAAGACCTGCTGCAGGTCACTTCCGGTTTTGTAGTTTAAGAATTGGGAATAACAGCGTGCTATCTTCGAGGGTCGAAGAAGTGAGAGGAAAGCATGCATCGAGAAAAGGAAAGTGACCAGAGTGTGGTGGCCGAAGACCACTGGATTTTGGTGCTTTTAATGGTTCAAAACTTGGAAGCGTACTACAAACCAGCAGTCAATGTCAACAATAACCAGGTCATTCGCCTTTAAAATGGATTATTTGGTAAATGTTCCATTAGTAAATACAAAAAAATATGGAAAACTATTATTAATATTTGAATAAAACACTAAAAATGTGAGTGTTAGGGAGGATTTTCTGAACTCCATTATCCAGTTGTACTCAATTGCCGAATTTGTGTACCGAGATAATAAGGCGAGAGTCTCGAGAGCACCGACTCTAGGTGCCAAGCCATGGGTGGATGACAAGGCGCTTCATCCATCCTGTCGGTATGAGGGGTGTATTTTCACAGGCTCCAAAATGCATCCCATCGACGGAGGGCACAAAACTTAGTCTATAAGGTGATTCACCCTTCTGTCCATGCGCAATCTCTGTCCCATGCAATTTTGGCGGCCCGACTTTTACAAAGGCAGAGTTGGGGAATGAGGGCTGGAAGGGAGAAGGTGAGATGGAAGGCAGTGAGAGTTGCTTAAACAAAAGGGCTAAAACCAAACGTGATATAATTTTGAAATTGCCTTTTGCAAAAATGTCGCTGAAGGTGACCCTCAGTCGTGCCGTCAGCATTGGCGACTGATAACTTTGGCCGCCCACTCCAGTGTCGTTGGGCAGACATCGACAAAGCTTCAGCTTTTCATGGTGCCCCTAATTCTCACGCTATTAGCTTTGCCAGGCAATACAAAGTGGTGGTGTTTTTTTTGTTATTTACAGTGTTGCAACAAATTCCTCATGCATTTGTGTTTTCTCGTTCTTTCGAGGTGAGATTATTTTACTTATGAGGTCCGCCTGCTTGCCTTGTGGTTATTGCAGGCGCCTTGATTCCCTCATGGCAGTTGCACAAGACCACCTCTCCGCTTTGCATTACTTTTAATCCTACTTTGATGAAACTGCAAAAATGCTCACTTTTTGCCACAATTTTGGGTGAGGAGAGAGAGAGGGACAGACGGTGTAAGTCCATTTGGAGTGAAAAACAGGAAGTGGGCATCATTTTATTTGAATGCATCACGAAAGCCAGCCTTGAGAATGGTGTGCAAAAGGCTCCGTCTGCTGATAAGCCTTAAAAAATGTGAGAATGCAGCCTCACGTTGACATTTCGAGAGTCAAGTAGAAAATTTTCGTGATAGCCGCAATTCTAACCAATCAATGCACACCACTGGGCCTTTTCTGTTGAATTAGTCGCATTTCAAAGGAATTGCACTGGCAAAGCATCGGATTGAGTGTTTACCTTAGGAGAGCGAGAGAGAGTCAAAACCAGGTTAAAGCCGTTAACCAGTTTACTGAGTTGCAAGGCCATCGAATACACCCTGTCCAATTCTGTGCCAGTGCTTTTTTTTAACCAGCCTCAAACAAAGCGCTAGGCCATTACCATCGAGGACATGCATTGTACACACAGTCAACAGCTAGTGAAGAGGCTTGTATGGTGGTTCTATTAAGCCGTTCTCCTTTATTTGGAAGGCTAAAATCATTCATCCACTCCTGAGTTGTTCACAGGGTAATTGTAGGTAAGTTTTATTGTGGCCCTTGGGCCGATCAGCAGTGGAGATCCCGTTGGGAAGTGATGTGGTCCAATTCAAATTTCTTCGGCCTCAAAGCACACAGTTGGGATTTCCGGCCTTTTTCGGAATCATTGACGGCATTACACCATTCAGCACACAAAAATGTCCTTAACAAAAAAATTTAAATAAGTTTTCCTAGACTATATTGTTTTAAGTCATCTTTTAGTGTTAAATTTATGTACTCCTGATTTAAACTGCTAACATTTAAAACGACAAAGTGAAGTCCAAAGGATTTGTTTTTTTTTTTCTGGTTTTCGCGTCTCCTTCAGCACGCAAGATGGACAGGCAGACCTTGGATGGGGACTTGAGATGTTGAGTGGCTGATTTTTGCGTACCTCATAAAAGTTGTTGCTTACTTGCCGCGATAAAGTGGGAGAAGTAGTAAAAGTGCCATATTGTGGACAGCACTTTCTAGATAAAGAAGGTCTAAATGTGAAGTAACAAATTCGTCGGACGATGAAAGGACTACTGAAGACTCGTATTTCAGTAGCTGCACTGTGATTTGCTTATAATTAGCAGAAATAATAGCTAGGGTGTTTGATTTCATGTTGACTTGCTTACGATGGATTTTGTTTCGAATTATAATGATTGGTGATTAAGCGAAGACGTTCAAACAGGCTACCATGCTACGAGGCCTTCAATCTGTTTGATCAGCCGCTGAAGCCTGTTTGCTTCAGTTCAATTTCACAGCCTTAATGCCATTCCAGTTGTAGTTTGGTGTTACAACCGGGGACACCGTGGGACTATTTGCTGTAAACTGACAAAGACTACATGTCATACACGTCTCTGCGTTCTCTCACCCCTCAAAGTGACGCATAGCACAATTCTTCAACACGCAATCACAAACCACTGAGAATGAGTGTCAACATTGGAGCTGAAGTAAATCTAATCACAAAACCACAGGAAGTAAGTCCCCTCTTCGTTGGAAGGAGAGCTTTGTAACTTTAGGCAAAAAATCGAAATTATTACAATAAACACTGAAATCTTGTAAAGGCGGCAGTGACAGTATCGTTTTATTTTTTGAATAGAGCTTGACCGCTGGGACCTATGTTGTAATAGACGCTCACCTCACAGGAGGATGCACCATTTGCTTATGGTCCACTGCAGGGAATGCGATGAAGGTCTACCTAGACGAGCTTGCGCGACTCGAAAATGTACAGGTGAGAAGCAAGCTTATTCCTCTTTCTCCTCCTCATTTCCTAACGTTTATTTACCATACAACAACGCTGAGTATAAAAGTCGCTCCCATTCCGGGAAAGTCAAATCCAGATTTCCACCTGACATCTTAGGATAGGCTTAATAGTAGAGGAATAAATGGAGGCATAGGAAGCCATTAAATATTCATTTAGATGTCTTCGAGAGAGTCAACTGTTTGCTACACTTTTTTGGCATCAATATTTGAATGAAGATTGAGGAGGCGGCTCTACTAACGCAAAAAGCAAGTCAAAATGCAAAGTCATCAAAACCAATTTGTCCTCCCTAAACAGATCGAATCATCCATTCATCATTTAATATATACCATTAAACTGAGCCAAAGAAGGCAATCAAATGAGTAGGTGCAACTGGCCGATTCGATTTCAATGTTATGCTTTGATCTCCAGCTTTTTATGCTTGTCTGACCTAAAAGTTCACTTTTGTAAACTTAGTGATTCGCAGTAGCGGCAGGTTGGATTATAACTACGATTTGCCAAACAGTTTGCTTACAAATCTTTGCATGGGTACAAACAGTGCAATTTGTGTAAAACTTTGTAATAAATGGGTGGAGGAAGTGGGTAGCGGCTTTAGCCTTTGATGGTGTGCTCACACATTCAAATGGGGCTCGGAGCTTTGTATGGTTCGGTTAGCCACCTCTCCGCGATTCTTCGCCGACGCCTCGGCTTGTTTTCATCCCACCACCAATCCCAATTATCAGCATAACCTCTTGTCTTAAGCTGTTCACCTCGAAGTGGACGCAGGCAATGGAAGGCAAATATGCAGTAGACATCGGAGCTGCTTTTAAGAGTGAATAGTGTATTGCTTTGTTTGATTGGCTGCCAGTATCAGTGACAGTCACCTTGGCGGACATATTGCTTCTTCCAGGTGGGTTAGACTTCGTACCATCACAATATTCCCGCCTCTTGCCTTTAGGTGTAAGCATATGTAATCAACCCACGCATTATACCTCGAGACGCTACGTTATTAGTGAAATAGAGGGTACCCGATTTCAGATTTACTATAATCTTAGTTCTCACCATTTTCGACAAAACTTGAGGTGCTAAAGAAGCGCACATGCCTCTCCACCACTGAAGGGGTGAGAACGACGTCCTTGTTCGGCATTTTGCCCCAATGCCTTGTTCTACAAGTAGGTCACTAACATCGAAGACAGCATCAGCATGAAGTCACTTAAAGAGTTCCTTCTTGGGCTTCTCTCACTCTACC